GGTTCAGAAATGCATCTCTAACAGTGGTGGAAGGAGGCCGTTCTGATTTGTACAATGATTGGTAGAATTCTTTAAATGCGTTGTTAATACCTTGTGGATCATTTATCATGTTTCCTGGTTGTGTGGATACACAATTGATAGTCCTTTCGGATTCAATTTTTTTAATTCTCCATGCCAACAATTTACCAGCTTTTTCCCCCTGATCAGAGAAGGTCTGATTTAACCACAATAAACTTTTGGCTGCCTTCTCAGCTGTTATTTTATTATACTCTGTTCTTAAAATGACTAAGCGTTTTTGTTTTTCAGGGTCGTCTCTCTTATTTATTTCTGTTTCTAAAGATTTTATTTGTTTCTCTAATTTGATCATTTTTTCTCTTTGTTTTTTACTTTTAGAACTTGTAAAGCTTATAATTTGCCCTCGAGTATTTGCTTTAAAAGCCTCCCATCGTATGGACGCATTTGTTTGATCAGTATTCATTTCAAAATAAGCATTAATCTTGCTCTCTATGTATGTGACAAATTCTGGATTTTGAAGCCATTTTACTTGCATACGCCAGACAGGAGGAGATAGTGTTAGCTTGTCCACCATTACAGACATGGAGATAGGAGAGTGGTCACTAATGACTATACAATCATACCAACTATTTGTAATTCTGGATACCAGTTCTTGTGACACTAAGAAATAGTGGATGCGAGATCTGGACTTATGTGTACCTGAGTAGCATGAGTACTCTATTTTATCAGGGTTAAGGTTTCTCCAAATTTCTGTTCAAGTTTTAAATCTTTCATATATTGCATTATTGTTTTCCTACATTGTTTTTTATGTGGATCAGATTTAGTGGAACGATCTAACAAGGGGTTCAACGTACAGTTGAAATCCCCACCAATAATGTTTAAACCCTGTAATGAGGACAGGGTTAAAAAAAAGTCCTCAAAAAATGTAGGATTGTCCTCGTTAGGTCCATATAGGCAAACCAGATTCAATGCGAGAGAGAATATATTCACCCTGAGCAATAACAAGTCACCTCGAGGATCTTGAATAGTTTTAGTAAGATGAAAAGGAATCGTTTTGTGGATAAGGATTAAAACAC